AAAAAAAAGTGAATTAAATGCTATTTTAACAACAGTTAGTGGAATTGAAACTAAGAAGAAAGAATTAGAAAAGGATAAATCTGCTGAAATTCGTTTGCGCGAAATCGAAGAAGATTTGGTAAAAGTTGACGAAAGTATACATAGGGTGACTGTTGAAATGAGGGAGTATAATGATGCTACTAAGGGCAGAGCTGCATATGCAAAGTTCAAAGCCCTAGGTTATGATACAAAACTTAACAAGTGAATTAAAGATAATGCCGATGAAAAGTATACTAATAGATATGAAGTTACTTTAGAGGATGGAAGTATTATGTATACTATTGAATCGCTTGGTGCTCAAATGATTGGTCAGGAAATTGTTTTTCAGTTAGCAAAAATTGATGATACTGACTTCAATAGTAAAATAGCAGCAACCGGAAGTCCTTTTGCTGCCGATACCACCAAGCAAGGCGTTTTAAAAGCTTTATTAGCAAAAATCAAAACTTATGCTGCTGAACTGGATTATAAATGAACAAAGGTTGAAAATGGAAAGGCGGTCGGACCAGAAGGATCGGGGGGAATTGGAAGAAGGTATGAAAAAAACGGAGTAGAAATAATAACCCATGAATATAATACAAAAGTCCCTACTCTTAAATATGAAGATTTGTTCAATTTTGTCCATTTGCTAGCTCCTATTACAGATATGAAGGGAATAGATGCACCTTTTTTTACTAAACTAGATAACAAGTGAGGGACTAATCAAAAATGATATATTTGAAAAGCCCAAGACCAGCCTTTAACTGAAGAAGAAAGAAAAAAACTAGTAAAGGAGGGAAATGCTCCTCAGGAATTTTTGAATAGCAAATTCGCTTATTTTGATGACCCTAATAAAGGAAAAGTTATCAATCTAAAAGATGGCTTAGAAGGCTGGATTAAACTTTACTACATGATCTTTCAAAATAAGAGTAATCGGGAAAAAGTTATTCGTTCTGTTAATGGGGATGGCACTGTTGGAACTAGTATTGAAAATATATTAATCACTAATTACCATGATAGTACTTTTAAAAACGATTGCAGTTACGAATCAGAATTAGAAGATAAAGAGGGAAATAAAATAAGAGTTTTTGCTGTTTCTGACCCTAATGAAGTGGCTAGTATACTTGGATTAAGGAAAAGAGCCCTTGAAACTAAAAAGAAACTTTTAGAAAAAAACGAACTCAAAGACCAGGGTCAAATAGACCATGATCATAAGAAAAAAATCGATGATGAGCAAAGAAAACTCGAAGTGGAAGAAGGGAAAATTGATGCTTTAGTTAAAGACGAAATTGCCGCTAAACAGAAAAAAGTTACCGACATGAATTTAACCGGTTTAAGTGATTCTGAATGAAGTAATGCTAACACTATTTTAAAGGCTACTGCTGCTAAAAGACTGTTATTGGATATAAATTGATTAGAAAATGAAGGAAAAGACGGTAGACCTTTTAAACAATCAACTAATCAGACTATTTTAGATCTCATTGATTCTAAACGAAAAGATGTGGCAGCTTGAAATGCTGTAATTAAACAAAAGTTTGAAAACCTTGGTACAGATTTAGCCTCTAGAATAACTGCTGCCAAAGCCGATACTGAAATTGGACTTGAACTTTTTCGAGATGCTTACGAAGAATTAGGAGACCAAACAGTAGTGAATGCGATTAATGCTGAATTAGCCAAAGACAAACCTCAGCAAAGCGGTATTACCACAGAAAATTTGAAAGCCTTATTCAGTTTCGATTTTACTCAAGACGAAGCAAATAATTGAAAGAAGTCGGATGAAAAAACGATAGCAAACGAGAGCGATATCAAAACTATCTTCTTTGATGTTTACTCTCCAACGGTGGCTGACAAGACCAAATATAATGCTCTCCTGAAATATTTAAAAGAGAATGGTGACGATGAAGGAAAAAAAGAATATGATGACAGCGATGATACTAAAAAAGCCGAAAGTTGACAAAAATTTATCAAAAAA